GATTAGTGATGAAGATTGTTAATTTTGCGACGGATTAGAGACGACCACTTATGTCCGTCGCTATATGTGAAAAAATAGGCGATAGCGACGGATCATTGAGAGGATCGCATTCGTTGCTATTTTTCAACCCTAATTTAACTCCCTTCTTTTTCCTCCTCTCCCATTTCCCTCTCCCTCTCCTTCTTTAGCTAGTAACTATCGTTCTCCCACCTCCTCTAAACCACCACCAAACCCCACTCCTCCGTTCTCAATCAATCTATACCCACTCCGAGGTCTTTTCTCTAAAAAAATTTCAGCTTTTTCTTCTCTTCCCTTGGTATAATTCCACATGAATTAGGTATATATTTTTTTCTCTTTTATTTTCTCAACTAAAGTTAACAATTTATTGTAATTGTTAGGTAAATTTAAGTTTAATTAGTTGATTTATGATTGTGTATATCTTTAATTATAATTTTGTTTATTTATTTGTTAAGTTATTAATTTTTTTTAATTGTTATTTTAATTGGTTGATTTATCTCGTTGAATTGTAAAATTTTGTTAATTGTTATGTTAATTAGTTACTTAATTGTGATTTAAATTTAATCAAAATTGATTTTTAATTAACTAAGTTAATTTTATTTATATTTAGTTAACTAATTAGGGTAATTATGTTTAATTGATTGAATTAGACTAAATTTGTTAATTAATTGTTTTAGTTTACCTAATTAAGTTAATTTAATTGTTATTTTAAATTTAATTTGGTTAGAATTAGAATTGATTAAGTTAATTTGATTTATAATTAATTAATTAATTAGGTTAATTATGTTTAATTAGTTGAACTATACGTTTATTAAATTAGAAATTGTTAATTAATTGTTATTTTAAATTCAATTTGGTTAGAATTAGAATTAATTAAGTTAATTAGATTTATATTTAACTTGTTAATTAGGCTAATTATGTGTAATTAGTTGAATTAAAACTATATTTATATTAAAACTTGTTAATTTATTGGTATTTTAAATTTAATTTGGTTAGAATTGGAATTAATTAATTTAATTTGATTTATATTTAATTAATTGATTATGTTAATTTTTTTCATTGGTTGAATTACAAATTTATTTATATTAAAAATTATTAAGTAACTCGTTATTTTAAATTTAATTTTGTTAGAATTATAATTAATTAAGTTAGTTTGATTTATAATTAATTAATTAATTAGGTTAATTGTGTTTAATTGATTGAATTAAAATTTTATTTATATTAGAAAGTGTTAATTTATTGCTATTTTAAATTTAATTTGGTTAGAATTAGACTTAATTAAGTTAATTTGATAATTAATTAATCAGGTTAATTGTGTTTAATTGATTGCATTAAAACTTTATTTATATTAAAATTTGTTAATTTCTTGTTATTTTAAACTTAATTATGTTCAAAATAAAACTAATTAGTTTAATTATTTTGTATATAATTATTAAAGTGTGCCAAGGTACACCGTAATGTATCAACCCGAGGGGTTGGAGACCCTCGGCAATTGAGAAGAAATAGAATTGGTTCAATACTCCGAGATGGAGTTGGAATGACGAATTTGGAATTTAATTTTAATGGAGTATCCAAGAGAACTGTTGATCTCGATGTACGCAAATTGATTATTGGTTAATTTAATTTGTTGTTTGTGTGATCATTTGGAGTATTTGTTAATTGGAAAATATGCAATTTACATGGGAGACTCTACCAAAATTTTATTAGATATTTTGAAAAATTATTAATTAAATAATTTTGTATAGTCTCGAAAATGCGTAAATAAAATAATGAGGTATAATCATGAATTGATGTATATTTGGTGTATAGATGGGTATTTAAATGATGTTTTAATTCATAATATATTTCATGTCGAGTTGTTATTTATTTGTTAAACTATTTCGGGTGTTATTTTTGAGTTACACCTCGCGGATTAGATAAATCTAGTTGCGAGTGTCAATGGTTGTGGCTCGATGTTGATCGTGCGATTGAGAGTGGTGGTATATATGGATGCCGTACTTGTAGTCCAACCGTTTTAGGTTACGGACATGATAGTGGTGTTGACATGACTACATCCCCTCTAGTAATGCTCCCGTCGATAAGTGCCCTCGTTGTGAATGATCCCAATACGATTTCCTCAACTCCGGGAAGTTCTACTCGGATTTGATGAAAGATGGGTCATTTAGGTTTTGAATAATCGGTAAGTAATATGTTTTATATGCAAAATTTAGTTTTATGTATTATATTAGAATTATTAATTCTCTTATTTATTTTTTATTTTTTTGTTCGATAGTTTGGTTTCATCTAATAAGTGCTTCATAAAAATCATCATAAATTTCAAAAAGCGATTGGACGTCATTGGCTCTACATGGAAGCTCGTCTCCATGGAGACGAAAAACTTCTACTTTAATGAGTTTAAGATAACATATTAATTATTTACCTATAATTTATTTAAAGTGTTGATTTAACATGAAAATTATTAATTTTATTTTTTTCCTTCACGTAAAAGTATTTTTTATGGGATGCGATCGTCAACGCACTAATTAAGGACATGTGGAAAAGTCTAGCATGGAGGCAATATGATGATATACTTAACAAGTCGAAGCATGAGAGCAACGGACTTGTGTTTGTTAGACAGAAGGTGTGGGAATTATGGCACCGGGATTTGGCCACTTTCGAGTATCAAGCTTGATTTCAACAACCATCTCGAAATCGCACGTTGGAGATGGGTGGTTTCGATACTAGACCTTCCAAGCATACTTGGAGGGTCCATCTCTTTCATCGAGCATGTTGAGCGTTTGATAAATACTATATTATCCATTGTATTATAAATTTTTTTTGTTTATTTCATCTCATATTATTATTTTTTTCGAGTATACTAAATTGGGTCGTAACCCAAATCTTTACGATCGCATACAATAATGATAAGGTTTTATATTTTTTTAAATATATGTACATCTATCGATATAATCTAAAAATGTATTTATAATTTAATATCATAATTATTTCAATGAGTTAGGGGCACATGTAGTTAATGCAAAAAGCAATTGTTAAGGAGCTACACGAGTGTGATACATCGTCTCAAGATATCAATATGTCCAATATATATTTAGATGCTATTAGAGGAGAGAAAAAGTAGAGAGTGTACAACATCGGAACTTATACATCCAAGTATTACTCACATTATGACGTCAACTCCTTATCTACCACTTCGTGATATCCCGATCATAGTATCTAGGAGGTTTCTACTCAATACGATTATAGAATTAAGGAGACGAAGGCTACTATTCAGCAACGAAGCTAGTCAAGTTAGCAACATGCGGACTCGAGTCGCAAAGAGTTATAAGGTTGTTAGAAAACCTCTAGCCATTTTTCGTCTCTCTCGTTGACCTTCCCACAACCCGAGCAATTAGCCTTTCCTCTCAATAGCCATCAATCAAAAGATGATACGAGTGAAGGTGATAATGAGGATTGAATTTATTTTTTTTGTTTAAAAAAGTTTTAAATATTTTGTACATTTTAAAACATTTATATATTTATTTTATTTTAATTTTTACAATTTTAATTTTATTAAATAATATATCGTGTTTTAATAAGGTGTTGTTTATAATTGTTTGTTGTTATAATTACTAACAAATGACTATAGAATATATTTTTTAAAAAAAATTTGCAATATAATAGAGAGGATAATTAGCGACGGATTTAGAGACGAAATTACAAGGATATTAGCAACATCTAAATAGCAACAAATTTAAGTGAAAATAGCGATGATATAGAGACAAATATGAGACATTATAGACGACCGATTTAGATTGATTTAATGATGGATGTTTCGTTCCCGATTAACAACAAAAGAAGTATTCAATCGTTAAAAAATAATAACCATCATATTAGTAACGTAATACATGTTGTCCCCGATCTATCATTAATTGCATATAGCGATGTATTTTTAACAAATAACAACAGAAAAATCCATCGCTATTTAGCGAAATTCGGTGATGTGAAATGAAATCCAAATTATATTGCAACCAATTTTATGCCACGAATTATGGATGATGTTGGATCCACCGAATTTGAGATAACCATCCTTGACTTGAATTAATTAAAGGGGTTTCACATTTGATCCATTCATAACCCCACTATTCAAATTATATATAAAATAATAAAATTGATTGAGCAATTCAAATGAGCCATATACCATCATGCTTGGGGTCTATTTGTCAAGAAGGATGGACGGAGATTAGAATTGAAGGAAGAGATGTTCTGTTTGTTTGGCAAAAAAGATGAAAAAAAAAAGAATTTAATTTCAATTGATATAAACATTTATTCAAAAATCTCTCTCTCTCTCTCTCTCTCTCTCTCTCACACACACACACACACGAGTACGAAACACGCACACACATATGAGTACGAAGATGCAATAAAGAACTGAACCATCATCATCATTCCTCTTACAATTTAGGCGGAATCGCTCTGGTTTCTCAACACACTATTAAACTTTTTTTCAAGTCGGAAATTTTGTTACCACTACTTAAAGGCCTGCAGGCAAGAAAAGGCCAACAGAATGGCCCACTTTGATTCTTATATGCCCAAATCTGGAATTGACCCATGAGCCATGACTCTCCAAATGGAAGTAAACAGCAGCAGTATCTTTCCTAAGCTCATATATCCTTGCCCCAAAGGCTGCAATCTTAGTGGAGCCGACAGGCAAGTTGATGCCCATATTTCACAATTGGGCTACTAAAAAGTCTAAAAGCATTAAAAAATCTTCCCATCCACTCAGTTCCAATTCACGCTACTGTTCAGAAACAGCAGCAAGAATTTGGAGAAACAAAATACAAAAAAAATATCAAAACAGTAGTTGTAATCTTTTTTCCTCTTCTTTTCAACTGGAATATCAATTTATTCGAAGAATCAACTAAACTATAAGGCAATAGCTTCGAAGATAGAAAACAAGAAAGGCCGTGTTTTCTGACTTCTGAGGGCGAAGATATGCTTCGAGAATGTGGAGGGAAATCAGAGACAGAGAAGCGGGCAAAACCAGCCCCAATTCATTCAAGAACCGGGTTAATTCCTTCAGGATCTCAAATCTCCAACTCTCTAATCACAAAGACATTGTCTCACCTCACAGAGGCTCCGTCAACTCTCTTCAGGTACTTACCAAACCCAAATTATTAGTGTGTTTTTAACAATTAATTCCTACGATATAATGTTAAGTGTTATCTTGGAGGAAGCTGCAGCATGTTTTTATTTTGATAATTGAAAAATCAGGTTGATTTGACAGAGGGGAGATACTTATTATCTGGTGCATCAGATGCATCGGCTTCTGTTTTTGATATTCAACGTGCCACGGATTTTGAAGGAGTAGGAGAAGGAGCTTCTATTGCTAAGCACAGGTCTTTATTTTCTATTGACAAGCAACACCAAAATGGTCATAAATTTGCCATAACTTCTGCTATTTGGTATCCAATCGACACGGGTCTATTTGTTACTGGTTCTTACGATCATTATATTAAAGTTTGGGATACAAATTCCACCCAGGTATACTATGCTAATGCCACACGTTTGCGCTTGATTAATTTTGTTGTGATTATGGGATTTTGAATTGTTGTGTTTGATGTTTTTATAGATGGTTATGAATTTCAAAATGCCTGGAAAGGTTTATAGAACTGCAATGTCTCCTGTGGCAACGACTCATATGTTAATAGCTGCTGGAACTGAAGATGTTCAAGTTCGACTTTGTGATATTGCTTCGGGGGCATTTGCGCATACGCTATCTGGCCATCGTGGTATGTTTATGGTTTGTAATTTGTCGTTTTTTTTAGCTGTATCTGCGTTGTATGAATTTTTTTTTTAATGATTATGCTGTGCAGACTTTATGTACTTCTTGTTATTTCCTTGGTGGCAGATGGTGTTATGACAGTGGAATGGTCTACTTCAAGTGAGTGGATTTTGGTTACTGGGGGATGTGATGGTGCCATACGATTTTGGGATATCAGACGTGCTGGATGTTTTCGTGTTTTGGATCAGTCCCAGTCTCAGCTTGGCAGACGGCCACCTGTGCCTGCACGATCTGCCATGAATAAGGTTGTTTCTTGTGCTCTTCTTTATATTCTCCAAAAACAAATCCTTAGTTGACAAAGTTTTTTCATGCTGCAAAATAATGTCCACTTCACTCCAATAACATTTCTTTCCATTTGTTTACTAAAGACGAGCAAAATATTTTAAAAAGGATTTGCCATATAACCATATGTTGTGGACACTCGTGCTGCACTACCAAAAAATTCAATACAGGATTATGATTCTTGCACTCGTTCTGGTTGTTGATTAAGGGTTTTCTTCTTCTTTCTTCCATCTCTTCTTCCACACCTGTAAAGAATTGTTCACAACAGGAAATGCTTTGAGTAATATGGCTTTGCCTGTTCATCTGTTAACAATATTTTGGGTGTTATCACTCAGGTTATAACATCAAAGGCACTATCAAAAGGCCAAAATATCTCTGTAAAGCCAAGGGTGCCTCAAAAGAAATCTGCTAGCGGGAATGGAGTAAAGCATTCACCTCTTGGTCAAATTCCAGCCAAGGGACCAATCAAGCAACGATTGCATCCAGGGATGCTGTCAAGTCAGGATCGGGCCACTGCTCATTATGGTGCTGTTACTGGTTTAAAAACAACTGAAGATGGCATGCATCTTCTAAGTGCAGGTTGAGTCGTGTTAGTTACCTTAAGTTCATAGCTATCCATTTTGTGATCTGGTTTTATTTTTTAAAAGTGAAGTTTACATAAAATATGAACTTGTACATGTTGAGCATAAGTAAGGTAGCTTCTATGCATCGATATAATTGTGGGACTTGGTTATGACTTGTATTACTAATGGGCTGCTTGAAAATTGAGAAAGATCCACCTAGAACTCATGCTTTGATTATGATACTGCAGATAGGGGATGGAGAATCATGGGGAAATAATTTTTCCAAATCAGGGAATTGAGTAAATATTGTTTGTACCGCAATGATTGGGTCTTCAGGCCTCAACTAATTATATACTTTCAGTAGTGCAGTATTCATTAGTATTCATTTAGTTTTTTGGAGTATTTTTATTTGATGATTAGCTGAAGAAGGTGCTTCAATTGACTCAATAAGCTAAAATAGGATTATCTTCTTGAAAGTCAGTGAAAAGTTTATTTGGAAAGTAATCTTAGTATTTACAAGATTATCAAACAAAAAGAAATGTCTGATAACGAGTTATTAAAGATCTATTAAGGCTTCTTTACCCATGCTGGACATTTTATTAGTATCGGAAACCTATCAACTCTTATAAGGGTTTTCTTTTTATTTTTTTATATGTGTCAGGTGATCATTTTTCTTTTTATTATCACTTGACTCCCTCTTTCTCTCCATGGTGCTTCTGGATTGCAGGATCAGATTCAAGAATGAGGTTGTGGGATGTCGAATCAGGCTGCAATACCCTTGTGAACTTTGAAACTGCACGCTTGCAAACTAGCAAGCCAATTCAGCTGGCCACAACGCAGGATTCAACCCTTGTATTTGTTCCATGCATGACCTCTGTGAAAGTAAGCATTCTTTATGCACCTTATGTTTTCTATTTCATTGTGAATGCGAATGAGACATTGCCCTTTATTGAAACCTAATATATTCCTTTGAATGTTTTAGGCATTTGATGTCTGGTCAGGTAAAACGCATGTGACATTTCGTGGCCATTACGAGTATGTAAACTGTTGCTGGTTTAGTTCTCAAGATCAGGTCCAATCCTATTCCTGTGCATTTTCCCCCAAGTTCTTCTAATTATCACTTTATCAGTGATATCATGCTACCAGTTAGACTTTGTCATGCAATTTTTTTTTTTGTGAATCCTTCATCTGACTGCAATCATGAGTATCAGATATCAAGAAGTCAAAATGAGTATTTTAAGCATTACAAGTTCCAATTTTCCTGAGATGAAAAATACACACGAAGTAGGGAGAGACTTGTGGTGTGCCCATATTAGGTTTTGTGGGGTTTCCAATAATGGACAAAGACGAGGAAGTGATGGACTGCATAACATTGTAGCGCAGCTATCTCTTAAAAAAAAAAATAGCAAAACAAAATTTCATCTGGAAACATATAATGTGTTCATAGATTGGGCTTGTCACACTTGATTCCTCACTTGCTATTAAAGCTTCAAAAAAATTTCATGTTCCTTGCATTCCTAGTATAATACAATGCTGCAGGATCTTATTGGATTTTACATATAATAAATGCACTTCACTGGACACTTATATATTACAGCAGCAACTATTTGATTGGTGATTCATTGTTCCAGGAGCTGTACACAGGTGGCAACGATAGACAAATTCTAGTCTGGTCTCCGGCCAGATTGATTTCCGATGAGGTTGTAGACTTTCTAAATTGATTTATGGCTAAATAGTTGAATTTATACTTATATGATAGTTTGAGTCTCTAATCTGTCTCCATATTTCTACTTGTATCTGTTATTTCTCTGAATAATGTTTAAGTCTTCAATCTGTTTTTCCTATCAATGTTTTCAATTATGAACCAATTTTTTTTATCAAAATAACTTTGACTGAAATGAAAAAAAAAAAAAAAACACTTAATATATATATATATATATATATTGCATTTTAATCTGGAGTATTTTGGTAAAAAATTTTGCTCATGGCCGGAAAATTGATATGAAATACAAATTTGAAACTTAAACATTATTTATGGACATAACATATGCAAATAGAAATGTAAAGATAAATTAGAGGCTCGAATTATTATATAAATATATGTTGGAACTTTTATTTTGTGTTGATTAAATCATCAATTATTGCAGCAGATACTTGGTTATATAGATATTAAGCATTCGTTGCCGCTTCCCTCACTGAGTTTTGACATGGACATGCAGGATGAGGGTCCAGCTGAGGATCAGGATAATTGGAGCGACTAACATCCGTTGCTACATCTATTTGTACCGGATATCTGACCCTTTTGTATTTTACACGTACAGACGGTCGTACACATGTACTATGTTTTTCCTCAGGTTTATCAGTTTTAGTGGCTCTTTTTTTTTTTTTCTTCCTGGTCAATACATTCTTTGGTGGCTTTGTATATTGACTCCCGAGTTAAACTTGTACCCGACTTGAGGAAAAGTGGAAAACAAAAGAAATCTCAATGTCTGGTAATTGAAATGGCTAGACGGCAAAGCAACTATACGACTCGTAAGATCATCCATACTTAAATTTGCTTGACTGTTTTTCCCTTTTTTCATATGTATAACTACAACAAAATTCTTTCAACTTTCGCTTTGCATGTAAAAAGATAACCGTTCGTCTTCTGCTCCTTTTTGCTTCCTTCTTGAATTCGCTTTCGGGTAGCAATCAACCAAGCATCATAGTTTGAGGAAGGAAGGATTGGCTGCCAAATTTCTTCCATTCCGAAAACCTAAACGGAAAGAGTTTGTGCACTCGTTCGTTTTGCACACATGTTTGGAACTTTGAATAATAACAGGTTAATGCGTCCGGGCATCCAACTCAAATAGAAATCAGAACATAAAGATACAAAAACAATCTAAGTTACAAAATCTCTAGCAAGTCAAAAAAAAAAAAAGGCAGACAAAGCCCACAAAATAAACTAAAATAAAAAAGAAAACCCAAATAAAGATTTGTTCATAAATGTGTCAATATTCAATAACAACCAGATCACCCGGGCTTCGTTCCTTCTGGAGGAGTCTTCAGTAACACTTTCTGGCACTTGATAGTGCTAGGAAAATCCAGAAAAATGCGGTCTAAATACTGCATCTTCTCAGCATCTGTCAGTTTCGAGAACCCAAAACCATTTATCCAGGTGTCTAACATACTAGGAACAGCAGGCAGCATTAACCTCTCCACTCCCAAATTCATGAGTTGCTTTTCGAGCTCATTCATCAATATCTTACACATTCCAAGCCTACGGAACTGAAACCTGGTACCAGCTAGTGGCATCTCTGCCACCTTATCTCCGAAAACCCTCACATTAGCCACTGTTATTAGCTCATCATTTCTTTCAAGAAGCACCGTGTAGAATCCCCTGAAGTTCAAGCGGTTTAGGTTACATCCTCTGCTAAAAATCACATCTTCGGCGATATATCTTCCTGTGTAAGTTTCAATAGCTGGTTCAAAGCATTCATGAATCACCTCAACAGCAAGATCAAGTTTGCTGTGCTTTCCCGTCGAGATCTCAGCATTACGGTTATCAGACTCCATAGACTTCCACAATGTCCAAGTGAGATTATCTGGACCTACCACAACTGGTTTTCCCAACAGCTTTTGAAGGCCTAAAAATATATCTTCACACTTGTTGCTGCAAAACCAACTATCCTTGGGATCTTTCCTTTCCAACTTAAGTACTCCTTTGTTTCTTAAGCATCCAATATGATATTTAAGCTCACATTGATCGCAACTGAGAACACAAGCATCTTCAGGTTCCTGGACCTTGTGCTTGAATTTGTTTTCGCCACAGATACCACAGCAGCAAGGTGGGCAGAACCATTGCCCTTCAGGAATATCTTCCAAACCGACGCAATTTTGGTGGAATGTAGATGGGCATTGATCACATACAATTAAATCGCCCCCATCGTGGCAAACAGAACAAATGTAGTCAGTCTCACCTTGATGTTGATGTTGATGTTGTCTACCCTTCCATTTAGCCTCTCTTGTGACCCTTTGCGTCTTACTGCGGTGTTCATTCTTCCTTTGGCAATCTAACAAGCTCCTGCCATCTTCCAATAAAATATTGGCAGCTGGTCTGTGTTTGGTGCTTCCAGCATGAGATTCAAAGCCAGTGAGAGTAAAAATCTTCTGGCAACAGTTGCACTCGATCCCATCACGAGTTATCTTCCCTCTTGTCAATGCACTGCGAGCCTTGCTGCGACGGTAACTCACATTTGCCCCCAGCGACACCAAATTGTTGTCAATCATCCAAGATAAGACAGAACGGGGTTGGCGCTTTGAAGACCTAGGAGTCACTTCCTGCATTGCTGTTTCGCTTGATTGTCGTCTCTGACCATCTCTCTGTTTCTTTAGAGTTTCAATTGCCTTTCCTCTCCTTTGCTTTAGAGGGCTGGCATTTAGTTCTTGGTTACTTTTCTGAGAATCTTTAAGCTTCTTTAGATTTTCAATTACCTTTTCTCTCCTTGGCTTTGGGCGGCTGGCATTTTGACCCTGCAGGTGCCTCAGCTCATAATCACCTAATGATCCAACTTCATCATTTCCGCCCTGAGAATCAGCTTCAGGTGGAAACTGTGATAATTCATCCATTCTCTTTCTGTTTCTTGGATGGTCTCTGCCAGGGGACTCTTTAACATCTATCAAGTCTGGGGAAATTAGAGAAGAATTCTCAATTTTGGGATCCCTCATATCAAGACAAAGCAGACGGAGAGAAAAGTAAGTCTTTCTATCTCGTGGTGAGATATACCGAAATTTGTATGCGCTGCCATATTTCATACACTCAATTTTCCAGCCCACATATGCAAGGTGCTTCCTAACATCTATCACAAGAGGTTCCGGAGGCCGTTGATTGCCATGAGAAGCATATCTTGTTATGGCAGCAGGACAGAACTCAGCTACGGGTAACAGGTCAGGACCAGCAGGAACCCACCTAGAGCCTTTCTGCCCTGGCTTTCTCCGTCTCTTTCCAAGCTTTTTCCCATTAGGACCCAATAATCCTTCACCATTAGAATCATCGATCATCGTATAGCCCCTCCTATTAGCCGGATTCTTACTGGTAAAAAGAACCTTAGAAACTCCTTCCAGAGCCCCACCAGAATCCACAACGTCCTTTTTTTCACAATCAGAGACCATATCCAGCCTACTGCATGAATCTTTATCCGAGCTTGCCAAAACCGCATCATCAGAATTCATTACCACCCCATCACCCTCATGATCAATCAATGGATATTCATGACTACGAACTGCATCAACAATCACATCTGTCCCATCAAGAACCGACCTATCTTTCTCACACCCCTCGAACAACCCAATTAATGGCCATGTTCCCTTGGGCTTCCAAACCCCCGTAAACACATTCCAATCTTGACTAATCCTTAAAGACTCAATCTTTGTCTTTATTTCTTCACCAGATTCCAGCAAAAGGACAACCCTCTCATTAGACACATTTTCATGATCAAAGATCACACCTTCCCACCAAGCCGCTTTAACATAAACATCCACAAACAACCCATAAGGCAAATCAAAAGCCCCAAAACTCATCAATGGTGGCAATGGCCTTAACTGCGAAGAAGAAACAGTACGAGTGGGTGTCGAGGGAACAACTTCCACTAGTTTTTCAGCACCATCTTCCAGTTGAAGCAAAATATTGTCGTACCGGACGTGGTAAGATTGATTGCTTGAATCAACAATGGTGGCTCTCTTCCATGAACGATGAAAACCGCTTTCTTGAGTACTTCGAACCTCAACCTTTTGGTTTACCCTAAACTGCATTGTGACTCTAAATTCTTTAAGCACCAGTTTGTGTGCGTGCGATTTGCAACAGCAGAGTGAAAAGAACGGATAGAATATATTTAAAGCCCTTTTGCTTTCGTGATTCTAATTCATTAGGTTTGATTTTGAATATGTTTTCTTCTTGGATACAGACTTTGTAGTTAGCAAGGATTTTTTATTTTTTTTCCGTATTGAAAACTGATGCAGCTTCCTTATGGTGCAAAAGACCAGTAATGTTTGCTTTACCGCGTCATTTTGAGGCCCATAATTTTAAATGCTGCTACCTTGGGCTCTTGTTATTGGGCTTACTTTTCTTTTTCATATTGGACCTAAATGAATAGTTGACTTTTTGCCCATTTAGTAATTTAAGCTCAAAGAAAATTTTTACTTTTTATGCAAGTTTATTCAACAAGATAAAATCTTTATTAAAAAATCCTTACTAATTGCATACATAAAATTATATAAAAAAACCTTTATTTATATAATGAAAAATTAATGTACAAATTTCTGTCTGTGATTGCCTGAAAACTAAGCTTGATGGTTATCTACTTCCGCAAAAAAGAAAAACATGAACATCTAGGTAGTACTCAGGCAAAATAAAAGAAACAGAAATTTACGTTAAAAAAATCAAGACACCCTCTAATTTAATTGGCACCAGAAGTATGCCATCGTTCTATCAGACTTTGGTGGATTATTAAACTTTTGCTCAATTGTTGCAGCGTACTTACTTGACACAAAGATTTGACTGATCAGAATAAACACAATGTAACGAAAGTCAAAGCAACGATAACTTCCAGCTTAATCTCCTATTATCTTCTGATCTCCTCCACTGAGCCAACACTTCACTTTCCCATCTATTTTTTTTTAAAAAGGAATTACGTACCTATTAATTAGATAAAAAAGATCATCATTCAAATTTAAATGCCAGCAGTTTCCTTTGCAACCATGGGTTGAGTTAATAGCAGTTACTGGAAAAAGGTTTCAACTGCACTCAAATTAATTGCTGAGGTTACAGTGTAAAGGAAGATGTGATTTAGGAAAAAGGGTAACTTCATTTACGAATGCTAAACAGAAAAGGAAAACGTCCAAACAGAAATGATCTTTTTCTGTGCTAAATTAAGACCTGCAATCTTAAAAGACACTACTCTCCAATCTAATATTTGGCAGCTTTTGGAGAGGCAAGAAAGGATTCTTAGGATTCATATCTATTCTTGAAAAGAATAAAAGAACATTAATTCATATAATCATTTTCCAAAATGGCATACATTTTTATTTGTTGAAAAAGAATTCATACTTCACATGTCAGATGATTAACAGGCTACAGTCTAGACATGAAAACCAAAGATGAACTAGCCAAATGTTTCCTCTACTGGACAATCCAGTAGTACCTCCTCCACAAATCTCTTCTTCTCTTCATCCTCTTCATTCAGCACTTCAGACTTGGGACTTGAATCATATAAATCATCATAATTATTACTGTTTCCAAGGACGAGTTTTGGCCATGATGGGATTGAAGAGGTCTTCACTAAGTGTTTCTGGCACATGACTGTCTCCTGAAAATCTAGGAAAGTGGTATCCAGATGTTGCAGTCTCTCAGACTTTGTCATTATGGAAAACCCAAAGCAATTAGTCCATGTGTGTAGCACTGCAGGTACTGAAGGCAGGATAAGCTTCTCCACACCTAATATTCTGAGTTGCCTTTCGAGCTCATTCATCAAGACTCGACACATTCCATGGTGACGGTAGTGGAATCTAGTGCCAACAAGAGGTAATTCAGCTGCCTTCTGTCCATGGATCCTCACATTGGCAACAGAAATAATTTCATCATTTCTCTCCAGAAGAATAGTGTAGAAACCTTTATAGTTTGAACGATTGAGGTGTGATCTTCTGCAGAACACAACATCTTCAACAAGGTCCGTGCTATTACGAGCATCTTTCACCGGCTCAAAGCATTCATGCATCACTTCAACAGCAACTTTGAGCTTGCTATAGCTCTCTGTCAGCGATTCAACATCAAGTCTGTCAGAATACTGCAGTATCGTCCAACTGAGGTTACTAGAACCAACTGGAAAGGGTTTTCCCAAAAGCATCCGGAGACCAACGAAAACACCTTCACATCCACTACTGCAAAACCAGTTGTTGTCGGGATGATAGTTTTGCAACCTATCTGTACTCCTTAGGCATCCAATGTGATATTTATGTTCACATTGATAACAACAGAGAAATTCATCATCCCCAGGGAATTGAGTGTCTCCAGTTTTTCTTTGCCCACAAATTCCACAAGAGCATGATGGACAGAACCAATCGCCATCTGGGACATTCTTCAAACCAAGGCAATTCTCATGGAATGAAGATGGACAACTATCGCATAAAATTAATTCACCACCATAGTGACAAACAGAACATACATCATCATTCTCTCCCTGTTTCCAATTGCCATTCATCACAGTATGGTTGGAGTTTGCTTCAAACATTCTCATTAGTTGCATTTGGCAATCTAATAAAGATCTACCGCCGTCCGTGAAGATACTAGCTGCTGGTTTGTGGGGTGTGATACCTGCAGCATGTGTTTGGAAGCCACCAAGAGTAAATACCTTCTGGCAACAATTGCATTTGATTCCATCACGAGTTATCTTCCCTTCTAGAATTGGGCGGTGGTCCTCTCTGCCTTGGTAGTATACTTTCTCCCTTGGCAGCACCCCATTGTTGTCTATCAACCAAGACAGGACAGTTCGAGGATTCACATTGGACGAACTAGGAACTACCCCCTGCCGCACTCTTTTGCTTGATCGCGATATTCGTTTAGTACCTTTCTGTCTGTCTCCTAATCTGCACATATTCAAAATTTTCTTTTGTCTTCTCCGCTTTGGTGGGCTAGTTTTTTCGTCCTTCAAAGTCTTCAGCTTCTTATTGCCTTCATATCCTATTGCTGATTCAACCTTCATCTGACATACATTATCTTCAGTTTCACACAACTGCAATTCAGGAGTAGATAAATCAACCTCCCTCGTCCTCTTTCTCGACTGCATTACACTAGACGAATCCATGGTTCCCATATCAAAAGAATAAGTGGAAAAATTCCCATTTAAAGCAACAATTTCCCCATCTTTCGCCCCTCGTCTTCCTTCATCTATACAGCCTTTGCAGGCAGTTCTGAGTGAATAATAACAAGTCCCTCCCGGTGAAGTATACCTCAATTCCCTCTTGTCTCTCTTCACTCCATACCAAAACACCCACCCCCATATATGAAAGATGTTTCTTTGCTTTCATTTTCATCTCTGCTGGCTTAACCCCAATATTCGTATCCTTATTCTTACAATCATACAAGTACCAATCTACAACAGCTTGCGGACAGTATTCAGATTCAACAAAAACATTATCATTAGAAGTTTCCGTGAGTTTGGAGCAATTACCAGGACTGCTATTGACAACTTGTTGCACATCAAGCATCTGTGTCTTGTTGGGTTCTTCCGGTACTTGAGGAACAATCCCAAGCATTCTCTCTATTTCTTGAACTTGAACATTAATCTCCTCATTGTACATAGCCGCCCTTAAATCCGAACAAACTTTATGAAGAGAAAGGTAAGACCTTTTAGCATCATCAGGAGAGGTGTATCGAAATCTAAGGTTTCCTCCTTCACGCGAAGACTCAATCTTCCACCCTAAATAAGCAAGATGGTTCCTGACATCATTTACCAAGATTTTCTGGGGTTTTGCAGCATACTGGGTCACGGCTTCAGGGCAGTACTTGCTTTCAAGTACAATGTCTTTGCCTACAGCTTTCCAGTGTTCAGTTTTCTTGCTACTCAAGAATGATTGAATATCACTGCAGGAAACAACAGCCATGTTGACAGTGATTTGGGAAAGTCAAATTTTGTTTCTGTCTCTCTGACGAAATTTGGCACTTTAATGCATAGAGATAGTGAAGTAATTTAAGTAACAGAGTTAGGGTTTATACTTGAATAAACCTGAGGAGAAGAAAAGGAGCCGATTGGGAGTGGGAAGGAAACTTAGAAGCCTTAGTATCAACTCCTAAACGGCTTCTTTTAATCTTGTTATTTGGCAATGTTTGATTGGATGGTGGTAGTTTAAGTTGTGCTAAACCTCTGCTATTTTTTTGGAGGATGCTCGGAATATTAAGTTGTACCGATCTCCAGTTAAATTACTTGGGTGCCAAGTTTTGATTTTCCTTAGTCACCGGGGACGACTCCTCTCCCGTCCTAATTTTTTAGGAGAAAAAAAAAAAAAAGTGACTCAGTTACTTCAGTTTCCAGGTACCCTCTTTCATACATATATCAAATTAAGATTATTCACTGATTAAGTTTGATTTATGGCAAGCGGCTGTTGGAGTTCAAGAGATACGCTATTGTAACTATAACTATAGTAGATATGATACAATTTTAATTGTTCAATAAATAAACAAACCAATTTCCAATTTCATCATCTCTATGTTAATTCTTTGTGTTTACATATCCTATGAGCAGGGACAAATTTAAAGGGGCAGGCCCAAAAAGCTTACAATAATTTATAAATCCCCCTTATTTTGTGAATTTTCTCAAATAAGTTCTAATGTAATGGCTTGCCAAAATGAAAATATATAACATTTTGATCCTTGTAAATAGCAGATTTTGAATTTAATTGTTCTTATTTGAACAATCAAATAAGAGTTACAAAAAAATACCAAAGACAAAACAAGTAACTAATAATTTGAAAAAATAAAATACTAATCACATAAAAAACATACGAATTTTACGTGAAAAACTTCCTTAATTTGAGAAGGAAAAGCCACGAGAATGAAATCCGAAGACTTCCACTATCAATAATAATAGATAATACAAATAGTCCTTTCTAGATACACTAGAGGAATATATCAGTCATAAGCATCAAAGATTACACACCCTTGGCAAACCTCATCAATAGATGATGCACAAAAAAAAAAAAAAAAAAAAACCAAGTTCAAATTTCTTAAAAAAATAGCATTGTTAGGAGCATTATATCTCACTTTTCAGGACTGAAAAACTAGACCTCCATCATTCATAATGGGGGTTTGTCTCTTTCAAACATGTTCATTAAATTTGAGCTTGATCCAATAGTTAACAAATTTGAAAACTCAATTTTACCGTGATTAGTCTATTCTGAAACTTTCTTTCTCTTTTTCTCTAAAATTGTAGCTCTCTCTCATTTTCTTTTCTTTCTCCCTCTCTCTTTCTACTTTTTCCTTAATATGATCTCGAGTTAAAGAGAAGATAAGGTTTTTGAAAAATACTCACTTATCTTTTAAGTGATTGAAAAAAATTCTCGACACGTAAGCTTAAAGATTGGATTCATGTATGCAAATCTTTGGGCTATCCTATAATTAGGAGGAAAGCTCAACTCTCTCTCTCTCTATTTATATATGTATATATTTATAAGTTTTATATTTCAATACATATAATTCAATTCTAATGTTTGATTGTTCTCAAATTTCAAAAGAGGTATTATAAATTATACAATATGATGTGATAATATTATTGAAAAATAACCTACTTGAAAAATGATAAGGGTGTTAACTGGTGTATTATTGACGATTAAATCTATAGTCAGGCCACCAAAAAATTCAATCAATTGGTTCCCCTGTGTATGTATGATGAGGTAACCTTTCCATAAAGTTATAAGCGTAAAAACTTAAAATTAGAAAAATGAGACGATAGTAATTAAATGAGAAAACTGCATTTTTAATGCTTAATTTTATTTTTTTTCTGTTTTAATGTTCGATTCGTAATTTATTTATTTTTCCATCTAAGTTTTGATTTTTTTTATATAATTATAATGATGATTTGTCCAAAAATATCTATCTTATAATATTTTTTTAACCGATATATGACAGTTTTCACTGGCATGGAGGAAAAAAAATTAATAATAAAAAAACTTGGCTGCCCTGTCGGAAGGCTTTCAAAGGATTTCGACAAGGGCCAAACCTTCTTCCTTTGTTGCTAGATGTGACGCTTTCGATGGAAGGGAAAGTTAACTAAAATAGTGATGCCAATTATTGGATTTTTAATTTATTTATTTTTAATATCGAAATTAGGTCCAACTAGAGCTTGAGTGACGAGTTTGGAAGATTTTGACAGATTACCCAGAAAGAATTTACTGACATGACATGGCAAGGAATTGTGCTTCCCCAGATGTGGCGAAGCAGAACAGGCATCAGATAGTGGAGACTCAGCGTTTGATAAAAGCCCTCTTGGAGCAAAAGAATGGCCTTGCTCGTCGTATCTTTTTTCCAAGAGTGAGGTTGATAATTAATACTCGGCTTCTAGAAGCCACCGACAAATTTATCCAACGCCAACCCAAGGTAATTCTTAAATGTACTAGTTTAAGTAAAGATCTTAGCATCATTCACCAAGATGGAAGCCGGAATGCAATTTAGTTACCTCATCACTTGACCCCTGAATCTCAAAAGTTTCATAGCAGTGCGTTTTTCAGGTGGCCAATCTTTCAATACAGTACAAGGCATTGATTAGATGTCTTGGTAATCAAACCAGCTCCTGTTGAGTAGCTCGGTGTTAAATTCTTCAACATATATGTTTGGGAACTGAAAAAACGGGCTGACACATCTTGCAATCTGTTAACGGACCTTCACTTGAAGCTAAAGCATGAAATTGAGAAGCAGCATATGCTATGTAGATAGCACTATAATGAGCTAAAAAATTTAGCTAGCACAATAACAGTCAGTTTTTGATATAGACATAGTTTCAGATCACGTGGATATTCCATAATGTACTACGTTGATCAATATGTTGAATTTATAATTTGAAGAGTTTGAGGTTTGTGAAGGATTATGTATATTATGTACAAAATAAAATAAAATTTTTTTCTATCTCGGGCTTGTAACATCAAACTCGTTGAACCAAATAATCATATATATATAAATTAAAAGCGTGAGTAAAAGATTACCTCTTATATCAAAGATTTAGCCTTATAAAAAAAAAAGAGTCGTCTAAGTGTCCAAGTATTTATCAATGGTCCAAGCAAGCTTAAACACTCGTAAAGAAAAGCACAAAAATCACATAATGCTAGCTCCAAAAATCACAAGGTGCTAACTTTTCTTTAGAAATCAGATCGGGGTTCATGCGCCGGACACTTTTTCTCTCTCTTTTCTTTTTCTCTTTTTGCCATGTGTGTGTGGTAATCTTCTACCTTGTTTGTCGCCTCTCTCCCTATTATTTATATAGGGAGTGGCATCCTTGTCCTTCTAGGACAATAAGTTGTAATGTGGATAGACTTGTTTGATCTTATTCTTTTAAATCTTGAGTCTTATTCAATAGGACTCAAATTTATGCTTCCATCAAAATATCTTACATACTTTTAAATTAAACCTATCGGCCCAAACTCTTTTGGCTCAATTAATTATCAATTAATTTGGACTATCTTAATAAATTGGATCAAATATTTTTAGACAAGTCCACGATAAGAAACATTTTTCAAATTATCTTTAAACCTAAATTAGGAAACTAATTTCCTTTTTAGGTTCTTGCTTCCAAATTAGAAAACCGATTTCTAGAAGAAAAAACTTTCCATTTTACAAAAAAATTTTCCAAAATAGGAATTTTTTTCCAAAACAAGAAACTTTCTCGCTTTTGGAAACCTTTTCCAAAATAAAAAACTTTCAAAACTAAAAACCTTTTTCAAAATTTTTGCTTCTCTTTTATTATACGAATACTTAAATTTATGCATGTGACTCGATAGGCTCCTAGATATATTGACAATATATCGAGAGAGAAAAGACACTTTTTTATCTCATGATACATAAATCAAGATTAACCTTTAGCAACACATCATGACTATCCAATTCTCTACGAGAATTAATTAATTTGTAATTACCTTTCACAAGCATGGTTACCATACAATTTAGTCCTCATGTCAATTCATCACGAGTGTGATCTCGAACTTAATTTATAGTCCGTTCGATTATGATCACACAAGTTTTCTTCGATTCTCAAATGTCTTACGATTCTCAAAATTTTACGAGCATGAGGGGTGAAAAATAGAAAAAAAGTGTTAAATTTAGATATTAAAGTCCAAAAACACGTAAACAACGACACACGTATATTACTTAAATTGACATCAAGTGAATAGTAATTTTATGCATATGAATAGTAAGTGAATAAGAATTTTACATATATGAATAGTTCGGATTCTCACAAGTACATTGCGTGATTGAACTAAATATATTTATTTCAATTTTATAACATATATTATGTTATCGGTTAATTAAAATATATTAAATTAAATATAAAAGATAAATCTTGAAGTCAAAAAAATATGATTTATTCTTTCTTATGCATTTATTCTTAAATAAAACCCATAATAAATAAATTTTAATATAAAATTATATAAAAAAATATTAATATTTTTTTATTACATTGCATCGAATAAGTAAAGCAATAATTAGTATAGAAACTTTTATGAAAATTAACAAATGAAACTTTTGTACTGATGAAAAAACTATTTTTTAAAATATATACATTTTATTTATATATATTTATTTACAAAATAATGAATAATATTAGCATACAAAATTGTATTTGAATTATTATGCGGTTATTCTAAAATATTATTTTAATTATTTTATTTTTAAAAAATCAATTTAAATATTAAAAAAGTAATAGCGAATAGTTGGTACCATGTATATGACACATAGTTGATTTCTAATAAAATCAATGACTCTAACGTTATTATTTTCGATACATCATGATCGTATTCAATAGGTGATAATGTATAAAATAAATTAAAAAATATTTTTAAAAATTAAATGATAAAATATATATTTAAGCTAACAGAGTGCGATAAAAACTATAAAATTG